GGGGGTGGGGGGTGGGAGCGGTGCGCTGTGCGTCCTGGTCACGTGAGCTGTGCGAGCGTGCCGAGTGTGTCACGGGGGTACCGTGCGCGAGTGTGGGGTGTGCGTGTGAGTGGGTGTGGCAGCTGTGGACATAGGCTTTAGTGGGCTGCAGATGGAGGGGGACGAAGAGCCCGGCCAGGGTGGAGAACGACAAAGGGGACGAGGACGCCGGCCAGGCCATGGACGTGTGTGGTGCCCACGCTGTGAGGCTCCGGCCTCCGTGCGCCGCAGGCCCTGGGGAGTTCCTGAAGGTTCTTGAGGAGCTGGGGGCGGAGTGCCGATGGCTGACCTGGGAGGGGCTGCAGGCTCTGCAGGATGGAGGCCACAGCCATCTTCTTCTCCAGGGCAGTGTCACTGAGGTACTCATGGTCCAGGAGGCTGAGCAGCCCCGTGAGCTCAGGGAGCAGCTGCTCGAGCGCTGAGGAGGAAGCACAGCGGGGCCCGGGGTCAGGATCCGGCCCCGCCCCCACCCACCAGAGGCCAGGGCAGCACGGTGGCGGGGGGGTGGGGTGGGGGTGGGGGTGGTAAGGCCGGGTGCAACACGGAGACCTCAGCAGCCCTCCCACAGCTGTCCCAGGGCTGGCCACCCGCTCCGGAGGGAGAGCCCCGCTCAGTTAGCCATGACGTTCCTCTGGGCCTCCCCACTCTGCCTCAGACGTCATATGGCCTTGGCCTGAGGACGGACACCCCGGGCTTCAGCCTGGCAACTCTGAGCCCAGGCAGCCCAAGCAGAGGCTCTGAGGCCTGCCTTTGTCCCAGCATGCCCTCGGCTGTCCAGGTCCAGGGGTCCTTTCCCACCGCAGCTTGAGGCTCAGTGCAGGTCCCAGGCTGGAGCCCCCCGCCATCCAGGACACAGGCAGGAAGGGAGCCTTCCTGTCCCATCAGTTCATACACTTCAATCTCTGGAACCTTCTGTTTCCGGTGCTTTGGTGGGAGCCAAACTAAACATTAACCCTTCCTACCCCAGGCCCCAAACCGTTATCACCAGTCTTCCATGCTTTACCAGCATTTTCCAGACTTGAGTGTGTAGAGGAATTACCTGGGGATCTCATCGAAATGCAGAGGCTGGCTCAGGTCTGGGGCGGGACCTGAGATTCTGCATTTCCAGTGAGCTCCCGGGTGATGCTGATCCCGCTGGTTGAGACCACACGGGAGTTGCAAAACCCTACAGCACATGGTCTTTTAAAGACTGGAGCATGCCACAACCATGAGGTCATTGATGTGTCCCTGTCCCAAACAGTAACTTGGGACTTGGTTCGCCTTAGACCAGCTTTGTTACAGTAGTAGTACTATCCTGCTTTGTGACTTGCTAGTCACTTGTGCAGAATACTAAAAGCTAACCATGTCAAATGATTCTTGTGAGCTTTGCTAAGCCCTTCATACTTACAATCTCATTTAAATATACTACCAAGCATTTTATGGCTCAGAGTGGTTAAGTAAGTCCTCCAGGGTCACACAGTCAGTGAAGCCTCGACTGGCCCTGGCTCCCTCACTCACTAGATTGCCTTGCAGTATTTTATACAACCCCACCAACAAGTTTTGAGATAGGTCCCATGTTCACACCTATTTTTTAGAGGAAGAAACCAAGGCTCAGAGAAGAGAAGTGTTTTGCTTGCAATCACACAGAGGCCACAGAAGAGCCAGGCCTTTGGCTTATAGTCTCTGGACTCCCAGCGCCATGTGCTTCTCTCCACCCTGGGCCCTCCTAAGGAAACAACCAGACTCCGACTTACAGTTAACAAGGTCTGTGTGTGGTAGAGGGGCTGTAACATTGTGCATAAGAGAACCAGCCCAGGAGCCAGACTGCGTAGGTTCACGTTCACGCTCCATTCATTAATTGTGGGACCTTCGAAAGTTACTTAGCCTATGACTCAGTTTCCACCTCTATACAGGGGGTCATAATAACACCTGCCTTAGAGGGTTGCTGTGAAGGTTAATTAGGTCATGCATGAGAAGTGCCTTTCCCCAAACAGAGTAAACGCTCACCCCAAGTCAGCTGTTGCGGCTGTCATTGTATTTACCTTGCTGATTTGTGCTGTGCGAGTCTCCAGGAGTGTCTGCTCCCATAGCAGGCTGTGAGGCTCTAGACAGGGTAGACTGCCCTTGGAATCTCAACTTCCTTCGCATCTAGTCTGGGGCCTGCTCAGTGCTGGTGCTCCATATGTATTTGATGAGAGAGGGCATGAGCAGATGACCACGCCAGGACTTTTAAAAAAATAGAATCGTATGTACAGATAGTGGCACTTGTTGGAAAAAATGTGATGTGGCCGTCTCTCTGTGGCATTCCATCATCACCTGAAATCTGTTGGAAATGAGCTCAAGGCTGATCCCATCAGCTACCACCTCATGAGCTCTCTCTGCTGTTGGGCACTGAGATAGGGGCTGTGTATGCCCCGCCTCATCTGTGAGCAGGTCCTGCTGGGATACCTGTGTTCCAGAAGAGGACTGAGGCCGAGGGAGGCTGTGGGATGTTTGCACAGCGTGAAAGAGGTGGAGCCAGGCTAATTCCACGTTTGTGTGATTCCTAGAGCTGCCGAGTCGCACAATGCCAGGGGGCGCGACTCACCTCACAGCCCAAGTGCAAGGGACCTGGAGGCCCTGCTGCCTCCACAGCCCCAGCCCTGGCAATGCCACCTGAGCAAGGCTTCTGGGTGGGTAGATTTCCCTCCTTGAAGTAGGAAACCACTTAAAATCATAAAAGCATCTTAGGTAAATTTTAGCTGTTGCAAAGGAAATCTTTATAAATGGAATCACAAACCTCTCCGGCACCCTCACCGGATACACTGAAAGTCAGTAACTCAGTTCTAAGATATTGACTGAGCCCTAATTATGTGCCACTCAGGGGATTAGAAAATGAATAAGATATTGTTTCAGTGGGTATGCTCCCTCCCTCTCTGTCTCTGTCTCTCTGTCTCTCTGTCTCTCTCTCTCACACATACCACACACACACAGACGCGTAATAACTCACGAGGGAGGCCATGGTAAATGCTACTGGGAAGGCACTGCAGGGGACCATGGGAGCTTTCTTGTGGCCTGCAGCCATGGTTTCTATTTGAAAATTCATGACATTGCTCTGGTATCATGTGGGAATGTCAAGGCTATGGGGTACAGTGACTTTTATCCCTCTGAAACTTTTTGGCTTTGGGATTCCTTTGCACATTAGAAAATTATCAAGGACTCCACATAACTTTTATTTTATGGGGATCATAGTTATCAATATTGACAATAGTAGGTATCAATTGGGGAATAGTAGTTATCAATTTATGGGGATCATAGTTATCAATATTAACAATTAAAGCTGAGAAAATTTTAAACCACAAGAACACACAGGCACATATCCCACTGGCCTTCACACCTACTGTGTCATCATGCGACATAACCTCTGGAAAACTCCACTGTAAACATAGAAAGAACGGGAGTGAAAGAAGGCATATTGGGTCTGAGTACTATATAATAGTTTTGACCTTGTGGACTCCCAGGAATCATCCCCATCCACACCTTTCGGAGAATCGCCGTCCTTCAATGAATGACCTGGGATTGCTAGGTCTTGTCCCTGTGTCCATTCCTCCTTCCTTCTCTCCCCACCTCCCTCCCACCCTGTCTGTCTCTCATTTCGCTCTGAGGTCCCAAAGATTTATTCTTGCTGTTATCAGTCAGTGCTTATGCCGGCAGCATTCCTGCTTCTAAAAGCTCTCCTGCTTCTAATTTGAGGTTTGTTGCAATTGTTTCTAAAGTAAGAACAGTTAGGTTCTGAGTGAGTTCTCTGCATTGACAGATGGGAGTCTTAACACCCAAGCTTTGTTAACAACTCTTTATTTTTTCCCTGATTGTTAACGGGATTCCTAACATGGGACCCTGACTTCTAAGTGTTTTTGTTGAATGGAGATGTGATCACAAAAGTCCAAACAGAGCAAAGAAGAAAGAGGGGACCGAGTGAACCTGGGAGAAGCAGGTGTCCGTGGCAGCATCTCTGGCCTGGAAGGACCTGGCAGTCAGCAGGTAGCCAAGGGGGAGTCCCACAGCATTTCCAAAGTTGGTTAGCGAAGGGATCGTGAGCCACAGGGGACTTCTCAGCAAATGGGCGAGAACCCTTCCCCAGGGCGGAGCAGTGACTGTGTGCTGGGCAATTAGGGTGCACCCTCTCATTTCAGGCTCATAAACTGCACAGGAGGGATGTAGTGTTGTGCTCTGCGTCCCATGAGGGAGGGAATGGAGGCTCAGAAAAGTGACGCCACCCAGCTGGTAAATGGTAAGGCCAGGCCTTGAGCCCAGGTCTGACTTCACAGTGTACACCCTGTGCCAGAATCTTCCATCAGAAAACATGGTTTCAGAGCAGTGGAGGCCAGGCTGGGGCAGGGAGGAGGCAAGTAGCCCCTCAAAACCCTCCTGCTGGGGGCTCTGGGCCATGACTTCATCAGGGCTCCTGACCTGGGGTCCCTGCACCAGATGGGTGGAAGGCTCTTATTGGGGGGCTAAAATTCTTGCTCAGTGGGTCTCTCTGCACTGGGACTGTTTGTGAACTTCAGAGCCCTAACGGTAAAGATCCAGAGAAGGAAAACAAGTGGCTCAGAGCATCTACCTGACTTAACAGCAGGATCTCATCCCAGAGGGCCCCTTATACCCCATGGTACAAGAAGGCTTTCAGCCGGTGCTCGGCTCTTCAAAGGCAGTACCTTTGAGCTCTCCCCCCAAAAGCTGGCTTTCAGGGGCAATGAATGTGGCAATGCCTTCCGTGGCAGCTTCGTCTTTAATGCCAGAGAACTGAAACCACAGGGTTTTAAACGATCGCAGAATTTAATTTGGAGAGAAATCATATGTGTATAGTGCATATGGCGAGGTGGTTCTGCCAGGCCTCAGACAGACCGCCAGGACAGCAGCCTCAAATTTTAGCAAGAATAAGATTCTCCCAGTGGGGGTTGTTGGAAAGGCCGATTCCTGGACCTCCTACCCGGGCCTTCTGATTCCATAGACCCTCTACTGAGACCCAAGAAACTGCATTTTATTTTTTATTTTTTTTATTTAAAAGATTTTATTTATTTGCCAGAGAGAGAGAGCACAAGCAGAGGGAGTGGCAGGCAGAGGGAGAAGCAGGGAACCTGATGTGGGGCTCGATCCCAGGACCCTGAGATCATGACCTGAGCCGAAGGCACACGCTTAACCGACTGAGCCACCTAGGCGCCCCAGAAGCTGCATTTTAGTAAGTACTCCAGGTGATTCCAAGGTTCAACCTTTGAAAGCTACTCCGCCAGAAAACCCATACTATAAGGCACGTCTGTGAACATAAGGAATGTGGGAAGACCTTTCTCGTTTGCTCACAAGTTATCATTAGACCTCACCTTTGAAAGAAGTGCAAGTCCAGGTGGGAATAAGAGCTCCCACAGATTATAAATAGCTGGAGCCTGGAAGCTTGCTGAGAAG